TGAAAACTCTGGGCTCCCCTCATTTGAAAGTTAGTCTCCCAGCCTCTGTACTGCCTGCCTCTGAACATACATAACCCTTACTAAGCTATAGTAGTGCTGTTATTTTCCCCCACATTGTGCCCATACCTTTTCTGCAGTTTGTAGTTGTGCCCCTACACCCTTCCCATTCATCTTCACACCTTCTTTCATGATGCTTTTTCATTGCCTGCCTTTGATTCAAATCCTTCTTTAAAACACACTGGTCCCCAGTCTTACTATGGACAGCCAATAAAATAATTGTCTTTCAAAGTAAAGTGGCATGTGAAATACAAACAACGTACAGGGGACACTTTCTGCAGAGAACAATCCACCTGCTGCTTTGGAGCAGCACCTTGGCATCAATCAGCCCAGCACACACACATTTACCCCTTCACAAGAAACAATACCTTGCCAGCGAGCCTCCTCCGACCCTTCCTGAGACAACGGGCAGCAGCTCCTGGAAGGCGGTTCAGACGGGCATGAAAGCCTGAAAAAAAAAAAAAAAAATCAAGAAGGAAGAGTCTAAGCACAGAAGACAAAAAATTGTTCTTGACAAAAGAGCAGAGAAAGATTATTTAGCCCATGGCCAGACTATAAGACTGGGAGCTAGGACACCTGGATTTTCCTACGCAACTTTGCCTGGTGTGGCCTTGGATAAGTAGGAACCTTGTTGTTTCACTTTCTCACAATCTGCAAAAAGGGGATAACAGTACTGATTTAAAATGCAGATGTAAAATTTGTATGGTGTAAAAGACAGCCCCAAGAATTTGGACACGTGAAAAGATGAACAACATGGCGCTTAGTGTCCTCTGCACCAATACCACCATCATTGAACAAGGATTGTTTGTTTAACAAACGTACTATAAATATTAGAGGTACACTGAAACATCGGTCCGATATCAGATCGGCACCAACATAAGGAAAATTGATTGTATTGGAGATTGGCCTGATGTGGTCGATAAATGCCTGTGCGTGTGTGCAGCCGCAGCACATAGGCAGCAAGGAGCAAAGCCCGGTAGCTTGGAAAGCTCCATGCAGCTGGTAAGTCTGGTGTGGTGGAAGGGAAGCGGGGAGGGAAAGGGCATGGGGGTGCAGATCAAGGCCCCCCATGGTAAGGAAGAGTGGAGCAGGGGCTGGAGCACGCGCCGCCCAGCCCAGGGTGAAGGGGTGCGAGACAGAGCTGCGGGTTGTCCGGGGGGGCCGCGCACAGGGGAGAAGGTTCCTGCTGCTGTGCCCTGCTGGTCCAGCGCTCACCTTTCTCATCCAGCGGCTCCTGCTCCCACCGCTTGTCCAGGAGGGCATGGGTAGGTGGGGAATGTGTGCCCCCGGATCTGCATGGGGCAGGGCAGGACAGGAAGAACCCCACACAGCCCTGGCCCCAGTCTGCTGTGCCTTGCACAGATCTGGAGGCACGCCCCGTCATGCCCTCCCAGGCAAGCAACAGGAGCCATCAGACAAGCAGGCAAGCTCCGAACCAGTGGCTCCCGAAAGAGCGACACGCAGCAGCGGGAGCCACCCCACTCCCCCGTACAAGCCGTGGTGCCGTCCCGTGCTTGCCCCAGCCCCACTCCAGCCTCACTGTGGGGGCCTTGATCTGCCCCCCTCCCTTCCCTTCCCTCCTCCCTCCCCTTCCAACACACCAAATTTACCAGCTGCATGCAGCTCTCCAAGCTGCCAGGCTGGTATCAGAAACTGGATCAGTGTTGGCCAGTATGCCTCCTTAAAAATGGACTATCGGCATCAGCCCCAAAAGTCTCTATCAGTGCACCTCTAAGAAATATGATACCAATGCTCCATTTATAGTGTAGGTTTCTGTTGAGTACCCACTTGCTCCATTCTGAAGACAGACATAACAATATCTGAAAGTAACCCCTTTTAAAAATTAAAGCCACTTTAGTGCCAGTTAAAGTGGCAGCACTTGCTGACAAAAGCTGCTCTTCACACTACTGACAGGTCCCCTGAGTTCTGACCCCTCCTGTTCCCTACAGAGCTCACCCCTCTGAGCTGGCCGTGAGGGCAAAAGGAATGTGGAGTCTGAGAGTTTGTCCAGGCCGGAGTCCATTCGCTCCACCTCGGATCGGTGATCAGCTCCCCACTTGGGCAGGAGGTTGGGGACGGTGAATCCTGGAACACATTCTCCCTCGTAGAACCAATCGCTCTGCTCATCATCTCCTAAAGCAGCAACACAAGGTTACCTGCCAGAATGCCAGTTTCTATTTAAAAAAAAATTAATGTGCTGGCTTTTGGGGAGACGAAAGATGACTTGAAGGCTTACTGAACTTCCACATCCTATAACTCTGTTTCTGTTACATTTCCATGACAATACAATAATTCTGGGAATTCATTCATACTCAGTCTATAGGGGTGTAAGCAACATTTCCTAGAAGAATGTAGCCTTAGTTACTGACCTGCCTAAGAGACAGAGATAGCTTTACTGTGCTAAAGTTTGTTCATGGACATTATTTTAGTACTGTGTGACATTCGATTTACAAGTACAGGTTTCTTCAACATAACTGCTGCAGGGGAGGTAGAAGCCAGGGCTTGGCACAAACATGCCAAGTTGGCACAGAAGAGATTGCAAAAATGGGAGGGAAAGCTCAGGCACCTAGCGTAAGAGAGAGGTGAGAGAGGTACATGCTGCCAAACTTCATGCCAGAAGGAATAAGTGCCACTCACAAAGGACAGTAGTTTCAAGGAAAAGTAAGCCACTTACAGAACAGAAAAGATCAGCAAGTGTTAACTGTGCTGTACATTTAGCTCTAGGAAAATTCTTCTGGATCTGGCAGAACTGCAAGCCATTCACATGCCTAGGGCTGTACCTACTTAAACCATCACAAAAGTCTCTGTAAAGAAGAGCCAGAGTAATTAATACAGTTGTGTCCTGGTAACCAAACTGTACCTGACAGCATTCCTGTTAAAACTGCCTAGCCAGAAATCTCCTGAGGACAGTATCAGTGAGCAGGCTCAGGAAAAAAAAAAAGGCAACTCTGGACAGAATTGTTAATGGATATCCGGAAACATTTAGAAAGCTATGAGTTTCCTCTGAAAACCAATCCTTACACAAAAAAAGCAATTAGTCAGCCCATGGCATCAACCTCAGAAAACACACATCAACACCAAGTTGGTATCTGGAACCAGAATATTTCATTCAAATCCTCTAATAGGCAGGCAGATGTGTCATGGAAATGGATTCAGAGATTTCTAGCCAACTTATGCTAACTTAAATCAAATAAATCAGGACTGTCCTCTTAAACAATCACTGACAAATAAAACCTCAGAATAAAAATGTCAAAAAATTCTGGACAACAGAGCACAGGCTGACTAACAGGAATTTCCTGTAATTGCCTTCAAAGTTGCATAAGAGAGACATTAAGGATCAGGATCATATATTCATCCTACAATACCTTTAACCCTGAAAGATGCAAGAAATTTTATAGATTTCATTTAAGCTGTACAGAGGTTAGTTCTCTACCAATGAAATGCAACCAGTTGTTTAATTTGCAATATAGCAATAGTTATAAAACAAAAAAAAGAAACAAAGTAACATCCTTTTTGAAAATACGTGGAAAATATAAAGAAGAAAAATGTAATTAACTACATTGGGACCAGGCCTGAAACCTAGTTTTAAAGTAACCTGCAAAGAAAAAAAATGGGATGTACAACTTATTTTGCTTCTTTCTGATTGATTAAAAAGGAGCGTGTCCCCTGCTTATTTTAACATTAGAGTGAAGCAGAACTTAAATTCCAAAGGCCTTGTATACACAAGGGAAAACAGATATTAGAAAGTATGCTAACATTTTTCCTAACAAGTCGAACATGACATAGTGCCTAGTATGAACAGAGACAATAGTGCTTAAACAAGTAATTTAAGACAACTGTCCTCATCTTCACCAGGTGCCAGGTCACATTTGACATCACAAGATGACTAATATTTCTAAAAACACATTCTTCATATTCTGTAATCACTGAAAAATTAGCCTTACAAGACAGCAAGATTTATGAGATTGAAACCTATGCATCAGAGGAGGAAGGATTTTCAGTTTAAGTCTGTTTCTTTAGTTGGCTACTATTTAACTCCCGTACCTGGTAAGCATTCTTTGTCCCAGATGATTACATTAAATATTCAACCCCACAACTAACTACCACCTTTTCCCTTCAACTGAAGTCTAATAGCTCAGAGACTTAGACACAAACAAGTAGTACAGCAGAAGCAAGAAATAACAGGCTTGACATGTCTGATGCTTACAAGGGAAAGAAAACAAAACAAGCAGAATGTTTTTTAAACTCTTTCAGGTCTTCCATATGCACTAAATCACAACAAACTGAGGGGGACCAATATCCAATGACCACAAGCGATTTAACATCTCCTCTGAAAAACCGCCCTCCCTCCTCAGTCACCAGCACTTCATACCATCCTGTAAGGACACTAGAATCAATAACCCATTTTCATGTATTGGCCTTCATATATTTGGTAAATATCACAATGCACATTCGTATTGAAATCACAGAGAATGTCTTTGGGACCCAAGCTCTTCCTCTGAACCCCAGCCTTTCCCAGCCATTAGCCCTCCCATATACTCCTGATCTGATCCCCTCCAGCTGCTCATCCTCCACTGTCCGAATCAGTGTTTACAAGAAGGGGAAGAAATAAAAAATTCCTGAGTAGCACAGCAGAAAAAAAAAAAAAAAAAAAAAATCACAAGACAACAAGTTACCTTGGCGGCCTTCATCATTGGTGAAGAGGCCAGTGTCACTGCTGCTGCATACACTGCTGGTTTCACTGGAAAAAAAAACATAGACAGTTAAGCCCAATGAGTATGCAACAATTTTCTTTTAGCAATGCCCTTCAGCCCAAAGAATCCCAAGGTGCTTTATCTATTAGATAAAATGAAAGTCATTTCATCACTGGCATGGGGCTGGGCTGCCTCTGGTATAGAACGCAAGAGCTGTCTGACAGTTCACAACACCACCTTATAGAACAGTTCTGTAGGCACCTTAAAGCTTATCAAAATGTAGTTACCCAAAATGGCATTTGATCAGAGCACCAACACCCCTACTGACGACACAGTCTACAGAGATTTCTTCTCTAACATTGAACAAACACTGCAAGCTTAGTCACCCAACAGTCAATGAAAACTGTACAGAAACTTATTTTTTTTTAATTCCTTCTTCCAACGAGGTCATCCTTGAACATAAATGCTTTCTCTTCCATTCTCAATGCTTTTAACTTGCTATGGAGGAATAAGAAGCTGGTAAATCCTTAAATGCTCATCCAAATAAACCAGCACAATATAACCTGCCACTCCTACAAGTAACTGCTGGCTATGCCACGCTTCAAACATATTCACTCTAGGAGGGCATTTGACTCTTGAACTATAAAGCTGAAGAAGAAGGTTATTTGTAGAAATTTGTTAATTGGCTATGAATACTGTTTGAATATTGTCTAGGAAAATTACTTGCTCTGGCCAATTCTAGGCATCTGAGCTTTTAATGCTGCCATCAAAATATTTTTAGGATATATTTGGCAATAACTCCACTCTTCAGCTCTCTCTCAGCAAATCCCACAGTTACTAATCCCACCCTAACACCAATCAACGCCTTATGGGAGAAGCGAATGCCAGCAGTAACCAACCAAGCATCTGAAAGAATCCGAGTACAGGTTTCCCTCACTTTATGAAGGTTCTGTATGTGCAAATTCACTCTTATGCTACGGCCCTTTTTTTTTTTTTTTTAACCAAAAATTTGTTATATGCGAGTAAATTCACTCCTATGAGATAGGTGTGGTGGAAGCCCACACTCAGCTGCTTTGTGTGGTGCATTGTGGGAGTGACATGCACCAAAATATAGTCTCCTGTGTGGATCCATGCTTCTATAGTTGCCATCCCCATTATGACAGTACCCTCTACTTGTGTGCACTGTCTGCTGTTGGCGAGTACCAAAACTGTCTTGTAATAGTGGTAGAAATGGGTCTGGGGGTCAGTACAGTCGAGGTCTTGGAACGTATCCCTATTTGTTACATTGTAAAGTGGGTTTCCTTTACGCAAATTCGAGTTATATGCCGTTTTCCATGAATGCATGTACAGCATAAAGCGAAGGAAACCTGTATCCTTATGTGTGGCTAGACAGGATCTCCATGCACCCTGAGGAGCAATGCATAGCTGTGTGTAGTTATAACAAACCCCAATCTCCTCAAAGAACTTGATAAGGCACAATGCAAAGGGACAAGTGAACATCACCTCCTCTCCAGTGAGCTGTAAGTGCACAATAAAAAAACAAAACAAAAATAAAAAACACACACACACTTTGTGAAGCATAGCCAAGGTTTTATAAAAGCAATAGAAGACAAACCATTACACTGGATACCTACAAAGTCTGACCTCCACTGGTGCATTAGAGTTCTTTTAAACATACGGATAAAAGAAGATCACACCCACATTCTAACATGCAAGTTAGCACCGGTTCTAAACCAACCTGTTATGAAGTATGTGCCAGCCATCTCCTACCTGTTATACGAGGAAGACAGTGGTTAAGGTATGGTACTAGGAATCACAAGGCCTCTATTTCATTCTCAGTTCTGCTACTGAGTCACTGTAACATCATGGGCAATCCCTTAGCATGCCTGCTTTCTCATTTGCAAGAAGTAGATAACAATCCTTACAGGGAATAGGGTGCAAGGATTAGACTATGGCATCCTCAGAAGGAAGGTACCAGAAAAAGTAAAAGCATCATCAAATGAAGTTCTTAAATCAAATCAACAATGAGGCAGGGTCTCTAATTACACCAACCCTTTGATTCCTTATAGATATACACTATTGCCAGTGCTCTGCTTGCAGTATCACCATAAAAGTTTTGTGGAAAGATACCTTTGCTTGCATCCCCTTTATATTTCATGGCTGGAAAACACACTATCCTCTACACAGGCCTCTCCTCAGGTCCAGTAAGCACTGATTAATGACCTCCACTTGCAAAGGAGGCTACTTACCTTAACCATGAAATAATGAATGCTATTGATCCAACAAGCTACTGCTATAGAGTGTTATTGATCACCCAATCTTTGGTTAAAATGGTCCTCATTTAGCAATTTCACTTGTCGCAAACACCTGGAGCAACGCATGCTTATAATTAAATAGTTCGGGGAAGTTAAAGTGAGAGGTGATGGACAGAGATCTCAGCTTTCCCCCATTTATTCCTGCTCCTGAGCTATTGTTTGTGTCAGCAGGGATATTGATTTTCTATAAAAATAAGAAAACAAGAGGCACCGAGGGGCTGCAGAAGGTCAGGTTGGGCTGGAGAAGGAGGGGGAGGCTGAACACTCTATCTCTGTCACTTGCCTTCCAGGAGAGGGGAATTTTTTCGTTCCTGAGAGATTGGCCTCTAATACATCAGCTTAGCCAGGCTCCTGGCAGTCACCAAAGCAAGGCCCTTACAAAAAGGAAAGGAACTAATCTACAAACAGAGAAGTAACTGGTTCTTCTGCAAGCCCCTAATACATCAAGGTTAGGCTGGGAGGCACCTCCTTCTTGGCTAGTAAGCTTAACTCAATGCCCAATTTGGAAGAGAGTGATATAAAAGAAACCTTACTAGACACCAGCTTACCTCAAAGTAGAGCAGGTGGTACATCTTCTGTGAACTGAGTAGAGGCTATTCAAAGGTATTTTCCAGTAGCCCTTGGACTGAAGTTCATTGTGCCCATTACAATCACATTAAGCAAAAGCACATTTGAAGGACATGTAGTTCAGATGAATGAGAGTCTCTATTTACCGTCTGTCAGCAACCCACTCGGGGGAGAGAATTCCAAAACAAGAAGGGGTTGGTTACTTCTAAAGGTCTTAGCAACTAACTGTCACATTCTTGTGCCAGCACAGAACCCTGAGATGAAGGACAAATTAATCCACTGCTTCTCTCACTCTTGGGCTCCTCTAGCTTTTGGCTATCAGTTCTCAAATCTATTCCATGCTTATTTTAGATCTGTCATTTGCTCCTTTCCCCTATCTCTCTCTCCTCCTCTCAATTTCAGTCTTTTATCTTCCCCTGGCTGTTATAAGATATTCCATACTTCCTGATTCGTGTCTGCACGGGTACATGACTGTGTGTGTGGAGGGGATGTTCCAAAATTCTCAGTTGCCCCCAACCTATTTTAATAATGATACTGCCTCACATGTTTCTCCAAAAAAAAGGATGGGTCATGGCCCTGGAGGCAGTCCATCAAAGTTGCTTCCTCATTAAGGTCCTGAACTAAGCTTACTAAGTCAATGGGAGCCTCTCCATAGAAAGAACTGTTTGAAGTTAGACCCTCGTGGCTTCTAGAAAATGATCCAAGCACTGAACTTTCTTGCTCCACAAAGATTCTAACTCCAGTTAACCCAGAGGGAACAAGGTGCAGGGGAACAGCAACAATGAATGATACAAAATGTTGTTCACTTAGTGGACAATGGTGTTGTTTCTTCGGTACTCCTGATTCTCCACACGCATGAGATACAAGGGACCCAATTCAATCCCAAACTGTCTTACAATATCCACCAGACCATTGGTGCTGCTTCCTAGCCTCACTCGCTTTGTCAGACAATTCCTATTGCCAGTTTGTGACCAGGGCCTTGTTTCTATTTTCACCACTTCCCCTGTATACACCCTTGCCACAAGGCATTTCCCTTGTGGTACCAAAGGAAGCAGCTACAGCAGAATGAAAGCGATATAAACAGAGCCCACAGACCCTGGTGCTTCTATAAGCAAGGTGTTATAGAATGGAAGAGGCCAAAAAACAATCCTTCACTGTTGTGAAGAGCAATCTACAGAGAGGAAATCGATGGATCATTTCTCCTTTTAACTCAGTGATTCTAAACCAGGGTGACACGACACCCTGAGGTGCTGCAAGATCTTTTTAAGGGTGCTGTGGAGTGTTGCCCAATATCAGCACCTTTAGGTATGTAAACACCTACACTTGATTCGTAAGATGAACCCAGAGATTGCAAACAGAAATCCACAGCATCAAGAATGTTCTGAGCTGTGTTCTTTCTGAGTTCTGTGCAGCAGAAGAATTTCTATTATTTTTCTGTAGTCAAAAAACAAGTGAAGGCTAAGAGCTGGCATTTTCCAAGGAGTGCCCTGAGTCTAACAAGGTTGACATTTACTGCTCTAACTCTACTCCATCCACTGAGCTGCAGGCAAGACCATGCAAATGGGGGCTAAGAGGATCCAACACTTGGACCTCTATTTCCCAAAGAGAGTTCCAAGGATTTGGCAGTAGATGGCAAATGTCATTTTACGGAGAAACATGCATAATAATTAACCTTAGAGCAAGGGACCCACTATGACAGAACAAAACAATTACGTGGCACACTGAACAGGTGATAGACCCAAACAAAGCTATGCATTTGTTCTCTCAGTAACTAGACCAAAAGAGATGCTTGGTAAAAGCTAGTTGTTTTAAGTTCAGTTTAGCCCCAGTGGAACTCAGTTTAGTAAAGAAACTACCTCAAGAAGCAACATTTATTACTACTTCATGAAATGAGAGCATCCATTTGCCTGCTGTCAGTAGTGGTCAATCTTCAGGTGATACTCAGCACATTGCACTCCCAGACTACCCAATAACAGCACTGTCCAGAGAGAACTATCCTTTCTTCTGTCAGTAAAACATCATCTTGATGTATGGCTTTGCTACTACTATAACCTGCAGTTAATATTCAATAAATGGAACAAACCAGAGGCCACCAAAAGCTAAATATGTGCAAAAAATAGCAGATGTCCTACTGACAGAGGCCAGGGATATACTTGAACATGATCATACTCACAAACATCTGGCTCACTGCCTGACAAGCCACAATCTTCCAGAGCACTTAAGCTAAGCAGTCCAAGGGAGCGGAGACCAGCATGTTTCCAACTACAGACATACACCTCCAGCCTGAGGTTCTGCTGAAAATTCACTCAAGCTACAGAAGACCACACTCTTCTCCAGACCTCTCCCCATTAGTGCCAATTCAGTTTCGTTTAGTTTCTACTTCATTCTCAACATCTTCCTATTTAGCCTATTAGAGTCTTGGTTTCCGAACAAGCTCCCTATATAGCAGAGGTATGTTTTGCTTCAACATATTATCATAAGCAGCATTTTAACATATAGGTGCCATGCAACTGCCTTTAATAATCTCACAATTTCTAAAAAAATCCCAACAGCAAATAAAAGTGTATATCTGTTTCTTCTCCCCACCACTACTTTTCTACAAACAATGAGAAATGCTCCAGCTTCTCAACCACCTAGAACAACTTATCTTTGGGGAAGCTGGATTAGAAAAGCATGCAAATATTTCTACCTCTCACGAAAACCTGGGGGGAAGGGGGCGTAGAAGATTCAGAATTGCAAACAAAACACTGTTCTGATCATGGCACATCAAGTACCTGCAGGCAGAGTTACCTGGTCACTACAGAAAATCTACCCTGCTTTCCTCCAAAATTTCTAATAAGCCCTTGGAAATCCGAAACTGAAGTCCAGCTCTTTGGTCACATACTGGTTTATAAACATGGATTTACATAATAAAGGTAGGGCCACCAGCCTGCTGAGTTGTTACTCAGTGGACATAGGCAGGAGATTCATTATCTAGAGCTATGGACATATCAGTTTGTCAGGTTTTTGGGAGGCAGTTTTTCACCACAGGGATAACTGCGAGAACTGGGGGAAAGATCTGACTTTTGCGAAGGGTTTTTGTGTTTTTTTAATTTCCTTAAGGTAAAACTTCACTGAATTACGTTTGAGAAGAAACTACCTCAAACTATCTGCAGCACAGGGAAGGAATGACCTAGGGAATATCTCACCATTCAGACATGTTTTCATCGGAGCCTTGTTTCTGTTCATCCGCCTCACATTCCATCCTCTCCTTTCTTCCTCCTTTGTTGAGGAAGGGCCTGTTCTCCGCTGACTCGCAAAGGCTGTGGCTGGATGATGTCCAGGGGGCATTCTCTTTCCAACGCGACAGGCGCTGCTTCTTAGCTGACTTGAACCTGCAGCCCCGCTCATAACTCCACTCCGATACCCTGAGTTTCTGCTGGAGGCTAGTAGCCACCTCTGAGGTCATGCGCTTGACCTTCCGGCGACGTCTCAGGGGTCGGCAAGGTGCATTCTCTGTAAAGGAGTCTGACTCGTGCCAAGAGTGCTGCTTGCTTCTTAGGGTGGCACTCAGAGCAGGGTGACGTTTGGCCACTGCCATATCATCCGAGTCACTAAAGTTGGCAGTCAGGACCTCACGACAATCCTTCATGGCTTCATCCAGGCTTGACTCTGAGGCCTCACTGTAACAGCAGGCATGCTCCGCCTGATGCGTGAAGTCCGAGCGCCGTTTACGACCCCTCCTCTTCCTAAGCTGACGCCGCTGCTGCCGTGGGCTCAGAGCCATCTCTTCCCACAGCTCGTCCAGCTTGTTTTGTTCCGAAGTCTGCTCCAAGGCCGAGGCCAAGTCATGTACCAGCTCATCCATGGGCAATGTCTGCTAAGACAGGAGCGCAAACAATCAGCCCCAGCTATCAACACTTCCAACACCATGTTTTACATCCACGTAGGCCAGAATCTTCACCACAGCAGCAACCGGCCAGATAGACTTACCTTGGTTAATGCAGCCTGAGGGGTTAAACAGGTGCTGCTGCCTGCGTGACTGCTCACTTCCCCCCTACACAACTTCCCCTTCCTCACCCAAGCAGCAAAGAGTTTCCTCTGCTGTAGGGGTTGAAGTCAAGGCCTTATGCCTGACAGAGACACGAGACAGTATTTTCTGCCTTGAAGCACTATGCCTAGTTTCGGTCCAACAGGGACACGGCCTGCAGCCAGATTGCTCTCTGGGGTGTTTTGTCAGACCTTACAAGTAGAAAACCACTCAGTCTGGGTGCCTCAGAGCCTGGACAGGAGACACCCAAGCCCAAATGCCAGTGTCCAGGTGACTGCACCACAGTGCAGAGGGTTTGCTTGAGGAATGGCCTGGTAAGCAGTGCACAAAGCTGAGCCCCAAACCATAATGGCCACCGAGAGCCTGTTTTTACTTCAATAACAACGTGGGGGGGGAGGGGTTGTCTTAGCACCATGTCCTACAGCAACACGCACCTTGCTGTGTTCCCCGGTCAGCTTCTGCCGGCCAGGACGGGCTTTTTTATCTCCCACCTGCACCCGGCGCGCCATCACCCCGCTGCGGCTGCGCCCCACGCGTGGCAGCGACTCTGCCCCGCACCTG